CTGCTGTAAGGATGGTAGGGGAAGGTGGGTGACGAAGACGGCCAGTGGGTCAGCCCTCAGGGTGGTGTGCACTTACCTCGAGAAGCATATTTTTCATGGTAAATCTCATAGGCTTTTCTGTGGGCATCAGTGAGGGTCTGGAGACGTGAAGATCTTGATTCCTGTTGGGGAAGCTCTTTTACCACCTCCTCCAAGTCACTAAACGTGAACCAGATCTCAACCAGCTCCCCAAAGGAGTGGAAGGCGAATGTGGCATAGTCCGCAAAGAGATCAGCAAAGACTGCACTTCTCCGGAGGGTGCTGGCAGGGAGGGTCCCGTGATGCAGAACGACCAGGGGCTGAAGCTTCGCCATCTTGAGGATCTCAAGGAATCGCCGGTAGCACTGCACTGTCTTGCTGTCTGGGTTCTCGGAACTTCCTGCTGGGAGAAGTTGTGCCCATGGCAGAAATACTTTATAATGGGTGATCTCACTGGCATGAACACGACTGAAGTACTCCGGCAGGGAAGAAGGCAGTGGTTGTTGACAAACATAAACGCTTTTGTCCTCTGCTACAAAGTTAGAACCCTGGGTTCCCAGTGGACCACCCAGGTTGTACATCAGGTCATTGGTGAGAGGACCAGCAGCTGAAATGAAGTTTGTATCAGATTCCCAATCTAACCCCCAGGATGAAAAGCTTAGGAGGACAATAAACACTGAATTCCAAGTCAGCTCCATTTTCAAGGACCTGTTAGGAAGTATGTGGAATCCTTACTTTTATAACAATAGCTAGGTTGTAAAATGCTAAGGGATTATTAACACTTAATATTTAACTGGGTTATCTATGGCAATGAAATCAGTGCACGGCTTACCAGCGTAATATCAAAAATTTAAAGACCATAGAGATAACACAAAAACCTCAAACATCTCACACAATTTAAGCAGATGAGCCTGGAAAATGTATGAAGGGGAAAAGTAGTCCACGTTTTTCCCTGAATTTTGAATTATTTTAAAATTTGTTTACATAATAGGACAAAGGTGAGTCCCTTGTCAAGTCTTTCTCCCCCCTGAAAAATATGTAAGTAGGGGCGCCTGGGTGGCTCAGTTGGTCAAGTGTTGGACTCTTGGTTTTGGCTCAGGTCATGATCTCGGGGTCCTGGGATCGAGCCCTCCAACAGGCTCTGCACTCATCACGGAGTCCGCTTGAGATTCTCTCCCTCTCCCTCCGCCCTTCCCCCTGCTCTCTCTAAAATAAATACAGAAAATCTTTTTAAAAATTATAAAACATAAAGAAATATATATAAGTAAATGATGAACACATTGTGTAAAAGATTCAAATATAGAAACATACATGAAAAACCTGCAAATTCCCCTTCCCCAGGCCCCCTTGCCTTCCTCAGGTAAGCACTCTCAACACTGTGCTTCCTTCCAGTTTTCTTTCTTTCTGTAGTTTAATGATTATTCAGGAGTCAAAATGCGTGGGTTTAAATCTTACCTGGTGAAAGTTAATTTCTCCGTGCCTCTGTTTCCTCATTGGTAACAATGGTGAATAGATAAGTTGTGAGAATGAAATGAGATCATTCTTCAGCATGTTTAGAACAATGCAACTCAATGAAAACTATTACAAAATATATACAAATGCAAACATATGTAAATGTATAACATTTTAAACATATAATTTAACATATATGGGATTATGCCTTATGTATTGTTCCTCAGGTTTCTTTTTTTCCACTTAACAGCTCCTGGAACTCTGTCTATATCAGAATATATAGAACCACTTATTTTTAACAGATGCATAGCATTCCACATAAGGGTGTACCCTAATTGAATCTCTAGCATATAGAACACTGGTTGATTCCTAATTTTAATGTGTTGCAAATGAATATCTATATCTATACATCTTTGTCTAGATGTATGACCATTTCTTTAAGACAGAGTCTTAGAAATTAAGTTCTAGACTCAATGTTATACACATTGGAATTTTGATTGAAATCCAAATAGTCTTCCAAAACAGGCTTCTTCAAATTTAAATCCTACCTAATGTTAGAAGGATGCCTAAATCTCTACTTTGCTAACACCTGTTATAAAACTTCACATTTTTCACACTTTGAAAGATGAAAATATTATCTCCTTACTGATTTCTCATTTTTCTGCTTAGAGGGGATAGCTAGCTTCATGTTATACCATATATGCGTGGGTTTATTTCTGGGCTATTTTGTTCCGTTCACCTATGTGTCTGTTTTTAGGCCAATACCATACTATTTTGATTATGGGGTCATGAATTTGAGCCCCATGTTAGGTTTAGAGATTACTTAAATCAATAAAAAAAAATAAGTTCCCTCTTTGAACTGCTTTTGCTGCATTCCATAAATTTTTGTATGTTGTATTTCCATTTTCATTTGTCTCAGGTATTTTTATTTCTTCTTTGAAATTGGTTGTTTGGTAGCATGTTTAATCTCCACATACTTGTTGATTTCCTAGTTTGTTTTTTTTTAAGGTTTTACTTGAGAGAGAGAGAGACATTGAGAGCAAGTGGGAGGAGGGGCAGAGGGAGCAGCAGATTCCCTGTGGAGCAGGGAGCCCGACACGGGACTCAATCCCAGGACCCTGGGATCACAACCTGAGCCGAAGGCAGATGCTTAACAGACTGAGCCACCCAGGTGCCCCCATTTTCCTCTGTAATTGATTTCTAGTTTCACACTAGATTATGGTCAGAAAAGATGCTTAATGATTTCAATCTTCTTCAATTTATTGACTTATTTTGTTGCATAACATGATCTGCCCTGGAGAATGTTCCCTGTGTGCTTAAGAACGTGTGTTGTTACTTTTGGACGGACTATCCTATATATGCCCATTAAGTCCATCTGGTCTAATAGGTCATTTAAATCAATGTTTCCTTATTAGTATTTTGTCTGGATTATCTATTCATTGATCAAAATGGGTACTGAAGTCTCCCACTATTATTGTATTGCTACCTATTTCTCCCTTTAGGTGTGTTAATACTTGCTTTATATATTTAGGTACTCCTATGGCTATATTTGCATTTTTTTTCCATGTGTCCTAGAGGTATTTCCATTTCAAACATGTAGGTTTACTCTATTTTTGTTTGTATATCCTACAGTACAGTTGTACCACAATTTATGTAGTCATTTCTTTACTGATGGATACCTGTGGGGATTTTGTTGGAAATACATTGTAGATCAATTAAAACATTCAAGTCTTCCCATTCAGAAACATGTTACATCTATCCATTTACTAAACATGTGTCTAATTTCTCCATAAGGATCTTATACATGCTCCATCATCCATTAGCCACTTCACCTCCTTGACAAGTAACTTGTACAAGAGAAGGGTGTGTGGAAATATAAGCACACTTACTCAAGACATGCAAAAACTGGGGCTTTATTTATAGTAATGACCTCACCTTGCTCTGGAAGCCCCCACTCTAATGGCAAAATTGGGAGGAGTATTCACCAAAAAACTCATCTTTCCTATGCTTCAAATTTCCCTTTAGGTAAATATTTGATCAAATTAAAGTTCAAATTTGTCAGGCTGTTTCTTTCAGGACCTCCCCATCTCATTTCATCATGTTGGAAGTCAGTGCAGAGAGGGGCTCTTTCTTGCTGTCCCGAGTTTTCACTAGCCTGTTACTGAATATCCTGCCTGTTATTTGTGCCTTATGCTAGCATCTCCTAACTGCCTCAACAGGAAGTTTGGTATCTTAAACCCTGGTTTCCTCTTCCCAACAGCTTCTACCTTCATTAATTAGGAACATACCTTTGACAGAGGAGTTTTTAATCTGTATCTGCTAACTGTGCAATTTCTCTATCCATTCCCAAGTCCTCCTCACCCTACTGTTTTCAAGCCATTGGAGAGTGAACTCATATACAACATATAAACATTCCCTAACTGGTCCTGCAGGGGCCCAAATGCCATCTGTTGTTAAAAGGTGCAACAATGAGAACTGCTACATCATGAACATACTAATGAAAAAAGTACAATAAACGTTTAATTTTTATAAACTGTCTGAAAAAATAAAACACAGAACTGGACTAAACCTTGGAAAGTAATCTCCAAAGCCCCTTATCCGTCATACTAATTCTAAGGACTCCTCACAGGAACCTAATCTTAAGAGGCTTTTAATGCTATACACTTCCACCTACCTACTGACTAAACAAAAAGGGAAAGACTCATGTTTGTGAGTACAGCTGCCCCCCACCCCGAATAATTTACGTTTGAACTGTGTGGGTCCATTTTTTTTTTAAGGTTTTATTTATTTATTTATTTGACAGAGCAAGACACAGCGAGACAGGGAACACAAGCAGGGGGAGTGGGAGAGGGAGAAGCAGGCTTCCTGCAGAGCAGGGAGCCCGATGCGGGGCTCGATCCCAGGATCCTGGGATCATGACCTGAGCCGAAGGCAGACGCTTAATGACTGAGCCACCCAGGCACCCCTGTGTGGGTCCATTTATACATGGATTTTTTCCAATAAATATATTGGAAAATTTTTTAGAGATTTGCAACAATTTGAAAAAACTTGTAGACAAGACTTATAGCCTGGAAATACTGAAAAAATTAAGAAAAAGTATTACTTTAAGAATACAATATGGGTGCCCGGGTGGCTCAGTTGTTAAGCGTCTGCCTTCAGCTCAGGTCATGATCCCAGGGTCCTGGGATCGATCCCCGCATTGGACTCCCTGCTCAGTGGGGAGCTCACTTCTCCCTCTCCCACTCCCCCTGTTTGTGTTCCCTCTCTCGCTGTATCTCTGCCAAATAAATAAATAAAATCTTAAAAAAATACAATATATAATACATATAACATACAAAATATGTGTTAATCAACTCTTTATATTATCAGTAAGGCTTCCAGTCAACAGTAGGCCATTAGTTAAGTTTTTGGGAAGTCAAAATTAATACACAGATTTTTGACTGGGGAATCTGGTGCCTCGAACCTCCATGTTATTCAAGGGTCAACTGCGCAGTAATTAGAGCAGGGAGGAAATAAATCCAATAGACAAATGAAGAACACATTATTTTATTTTGATGAAGAAAAGCAGTCGTTGGCAATTATAAAAAGTTATTCACATACCATAAAAGAACTGCACCTTTTCCTATATATGTGAAAACAAGGTCTTGGTTACAGAGACCAAACACTGGGTTCCAACTTCATCTAGACAAGAAACATAGCTTATGTTAATACAAAAGCGTATTACAGGAATGTGACATACAGGACACCAACTAGGTTCTTATTCCTCAAAATAAATTTTCCTGAAGCCTTGCTCCCAGAAACATTTCTCTTGCGAGTAGAGCTACATCCGGACTCCAGGCCAGGACGCAGGGGCCAGAGTCTCTCAGTTAGTTACTTTCAGTATCTCAATCTTCCAGCAAGTAATTAGGGTTAACTACCAAGTAGGGGTCTTCTTCATAGCTCTCACTTCCTTCTGTGGAGCCTTTCAATCCAGCTTGGGTGAGCTCAATTAGAACATGATCCTGTGAACACAAACATTTGTCCTCAAGTCTCCAGTGGTATTGTAAAAATGCCCCCATCCATAGAACTTGACCCTCTGAGTGTGTGCTATTAGCATTCTCTTCCATTTCCCCTTCAGAAGGACTTAGACAAAGGACTATCCCTTAAAATCTTTACCAAGGTTCTGTTAAACTCCTTTCCCACTAGGATACAGACCTTTTCATACCATACACCTCTTGAAAAATTACAAAATACATATATGAGCTCAACAACATTGTGATTTCAGTAAGGTTTCCTGGCATACTACAGCCTATAAATATAATTTCAAAAAAGATAAGAGGGGGTGCCTGGGTGGTTCAGTCAGTTAAATGTCTGCCTTCAGCTCAGGTCATGATCCCAGGGTCCTGGGATAGAGCCCCACATCGGGCTCCTTGCTCAGCGGGGAGCACAAGCAGGGGGAGCCTGCTTCTCCCTCTCCCTCTGCTGCTCCCCCTGCTTGTGCTCTGTCAAATAAATAAACAAAATCTTAAAAAAAAATATGATGCATGAATTTTAAGATTATGCAACTGTGTAAAATTGAATGATAAATATGCTTATCATTCTGTTAATCACTGATAAGTGTTCTACTTTCACTTATGTTAATTTCTTTTGTTTTTTTTAAAAAGATTTTATTTATTTATTTATTTTAGAGAGAGAATGAGATAGAGAGAAAGCACAAGAGGGGGGAGTCAGAGGGAGAAGCAGACTCCCCGCTGAGCAGGGAACCCGATGCAGGACTCGATCCCGGGACTCCAGGATCATGACCTGAGCTGAAGGCAGTTGCTTAACCAACTGAGCCACCCAGGCTCCCCTATGTTAACTTCTAATTACTGGTCACTAAACTCTTTCATATACCATCCATTCATAATTCAGTTAGAAGTAGAATCTAAAGATAATCAACATGGAAAAATTTTCACTCTTGAGCTATGAGCTAATAAAAAAAGGTAGAACATGCCACATGTACCTGTAATTCATTCTAAAATAACCAAACAAATGAAGGGCACCTGGGTGGTTCAGTTGCTTAGGCATCCGACTCTTAATTTCAGCTTAGGTCATGATGTTGGAGTTGTGACATCAAACCCCCGCATCAGGCATGGAGTCTGTTTAAGATTCTCACTCTCCTTCTCCCTTTGCCCCTCCCCTCCGCCCCCCAGGGCATGTGTGTTCTTTAAAAAAACAAGACTAACCCACAAAGGAAAGGGACTTCCAGCCAAGCTCATAGAGAACTCAGGAAACAGTGATTTGACCCAAAGAAGGCAGAAATGTGCCAAAGTATGAGCACCATTGTCACTAAGAGGGACTGAACACTTTCAAGAGCTCACTTTATGTACTAACACACCCTCACAGGGAGAACACCTTATAAGTACAGTATAATTTCTCTATTCTTTTGTAGTGAGCTAGCTCAGGTGGTGGAAACTTAAAAAGGCAGCCCCAGTTCAGATCAGCTAATTTCACCAGGTGTCCCAATGTGGATTTCCTGTGTGGGTCATTTTATCTTACACTGATCCCAGGAGACACTAGGGAGGGAAGGACTTGGCCTGGTACAAACACATTGCCCACCACTAGAAAGACCTCTGAATGCACACCACCCCAATTCAGCTTTATCTTCATAGATATTATTTATTAAATTCTGATCTGAGTAATTGTTCTCAACACCCCCCCTCCAACAGACACCACGTGTAATCATACACTCACATCTACTCCCACAAGTAAATGACTTTTCAGATGATACAACACTGATATGTGACACCCATAATATTCATATAGTGGACACTATAAAGTGAACTGCAGGACGGCTAAATCGGCCGTTTAAACAGAAATATTCAATCATTCAACGAATATTTGACCTCTCTATATGCCAGGCACCACTACAGATCTTGGGGATATAGTGGTTAACAAAACAAAGTTCCTGCCCTCTTGGTGCTTGCATTCTAATGAGACAAACTGAACAATGATAAGCACTATAAAGTAACATGAAGCAGGTTAGGGAGTGATACCAAGGAGGCTCTTATTCGACAGGCCAGGCAAGAACCACCGCTTTGAGAAGGTAACATTTGAGCAGATATCAGAATGGAAGAGGGGATTTGGGTAAAGAGACAAAGGAGGAAGACACGTGAAAGGTCTTCATGTTTGGTGTATCTCAGAATAGTGACAAGGCCAGCACCACTGAGTAGCAACAGGAAGAGTCCTACGCAATGAGGTGAACAAGGGATTTGATTGTGTAAGTTTTGCAGGCTATGGTATGGACACTAGATTTTATTGTAAACACGAGGGAAGGACTGGAAGGTAGGGCACTAAAACATTTTGATTTGTTAAAAGTTCTGTCTGGCTGCTGGACACAGAGCCAGTACAAAGGAGGACAGTTAGGAGGCTCTTGTGAAAGGACATGCATGGGAGCTTAAGATGTGAAGGTGGGGAGAACAGAACACAGAATACACATACTGAAGGCAGGGCTCACGGGGTTTGCTGCTAAAAGGAGAAGCTATGAGGGGAAATTGGAATCATGGATGAATCGAAGGTAGAAGGCTTAGAACAAGTAAGTACATGGGAATGGGGGAAGAACTGTTTTGAACACACTGAGTGTGAGATGCCTATAGTTCATGAGTAGGCAGCTGGCTAGACATCTGGAATTTAGAGGAGAGGTGAGAGCTAAATCTGGGAGTCATCAGTAGATGAGTTTAAACTCATAGAACCCAATGAGATCACTCAGGTAATCAATGTAAATAGAAAAGAGGTCTGAGGACTGAGGACAGCACTCCTTTTAAAAAGTTACAAGACTGGAGAAAAGAGACTAAGAGGAAATAATCAGAGAGATAGAAGAGCCAGGAAAATATGGTGACTTAGAAGGAGAAATCAACGTGACAAATGCTACTGACAGGCTGAATACAGAGAATGACCAACTTCTGTGAGCAGGGAGGAGTATGCCTGCGATGGTCTGTAAGAGTGGGAGAAGTCACAGCACTGGGCAGTGTCAGTGTGAGGTCGGTAAGTCGTAGTAAAGAACGGACCGGTCCGCTTGAGATTAGTGGTCATGAATTTAAAGTAGGACATGGCCCGTGGTGGTATGCCTTTCTCCAGATACTTTTAACTGCTTGGATGCAGGATAGTTCAAGAATTATATTTAACCAAGGCTGGGGCTTCACCAATCAAGTAAAACAGATTACAGCTTAAAGTTTAAGAAAAGAGTAATCACTGGGCCAGACCATATGTAGGCTGGCTGATGTGGGAAGTGAGGATATGGGGAAGAGGAAACATAGAAAACAGGAGACAGGGGTCAGAATGCTCACAGGTTTATGGTTATGGGAGTAGAAAACAAAGGTTAAAAACACTCAGACAGTAAGACCCTAAATCTACCCTCCAGATTTAACTTAGGTTCTGCTTGTTTCAGCAGAGGAAAGAAGTCAATTAACTGCTGTAAATTCTTTTTTACAATTCATAATTCTAAGTAGATCCCAAGAATTCAAAATAAATGAACATGAGGCATGTAATCATACAAGAGTATGATTACTCTCGTAATCATACAAGAGTAGTTCTGTACGTACATAGTGGGTGAGTCGATGAATGACTTTCTCTATGATTCTCTTTTTATTTATAAGTTCCTCTTCGGAATCTATTTCTGATTCGATTTCCTTCAAGTACCAATTAACAAGCTCACTCCTCTTTAATGCTGACTCATCCTCTTCTGCAACAAAAAATACATTTCAAAAGGATTAAATTTTCCTTCTAGCAAATTGTATTGCCAATCCTTGGGGTTTGCATACACAAGATAATGTACAGATTAGATAACCATCAACCTGTCAGAAAGTGTATCTGCTGAAGTAAGATTTGCAGCGTTCCAGGGTAAGCCTGAAATAACCTGTCCTATTACTTGTATTAAAGTATGCCTCACTTTATCCTGAGGAAAAAAAAATCTAATAAATAGAGATTATAAGAAACAAGTTTCTTAAAGCTATTAAGATTTCAAAGTATGAAGGTGTTTCCTCTACCTTCTATGCTTCATCACCCATGGGAATGTTTTCCAATAGCAACTGAAAGCATAAATTAGCAACAGCAAACAAAACTTCTTAAACATTAACTTTTCCTCTTTGGAACACGGAAAATTTCATGCATCTGAGATCAACCAAGAAGTGAAATAAAAAATTACCAATTTATTTCAGTAAGGTCTATCTACACTGAATGACTTTCTACTTCTTAAGAGTCCAAAGCAGAACTCTAAAGTCACAAGAAAAGTTGGAACTTGGATAATACAACTACTACAGAAAGTATAATAAAACTACTCAGTCTTGACTCTAGCTATTGCTAATAAAATACAAAATCAAAAATAAGAAAATTCTAGCTTTACTGACAATGCCTTTGAAAAGTTTTATTATGGGTGTACTGAAACTTCATTATTTAAATGTTCTTGGTAAGTGACCTTCTTGGTTTAAAGTTGTGCTCCCTTTTGGGGGGAGCCTAGGTGGCTCAGCTCATGATCCCAGGGTCCTGGGATGGATCCCACATTGGGCTTCCTGTTCACCCTCTGCCCCTCCCCCCAGCTTGTGCTCGTGCTCTCTCTCTCTCGCAAAAATAAATAAAATCTTAAAAAAAAAAGAAAAAAGTTGTGGGGCACCTGGGTGGCTCAATCAGTTAAGCATCTGCCTTCGGCTCAGGTCATGATCCCAGGGTCCTGGAATCGAACCCCGCATCAAGCTCCCTGCTCAGCAGAGAGCCTGCTTCTCCCTCTCCCTCCTGCTCTGCCTACTTGTGCTCGCTATCTCTCTGTCAAATAAATAAATAAAATCTTAAAAAAAAAAAGTTGTGCTTCCTGTGCTAGACTAGAGAACAGCTGTCTACCTGAAACTGAGAATTCTTAACTTACTTGACTGGGTGAATAGTATTTTTTTTTTTTTTTAAAGGAAGACCTAGCAGAATTTGTCTGTGGAATGCAGATAGTGTCTGGGTGCTAACCATACCTCTATTCCATTAATGGTCTGCCATGTTTAAAATTCAGTTGCATGATAAAGAGAAAAATGAAATACAATGTGAACACAAGAACATGTGAGCTCCCAAATGTTTTTCTGTGAGAAGAGGGTGGGGCTAAAACCTGTCTGTCCTAGTGGCCTCTTTAGTGCCTTCTCTCCTTCCTCCCCCTGGCCTACAGTTCCAAGGAAACAGGGGAAAAACTACAGGGCTGAAATCTTTAGTAAGCTAAGACAATCTCTACCGTTCTCTTCTTCCATCACAGACAGGACACTGTGATGAGAGAATATGTCTGGAAGCCAGCATTTGGGGACTTTTAAATAAGAACTACCTGATGGCTAACCACCAAATGTGAAATTTAAGTTCGACCCCTTGATTTCATCATTTTTCCTTCTGCCTTGTGGTTAACTATAGGCATGTTAGAATAGCACAGTAAATCAGTCAAGGTAGGAAGTGTACTAGTGTCCAGATATCACACTTTAGACCTATGGAGAAATGAGGATTTTACTTCATTTTTAGTACAGAATAACCTGGGCTAATGCGGTCCTTTCAGTTCAATTACTTGGCTATGAAATATAAATAACCTAGAGTCCATCCATTTGAAGTAAAGCTATTCTAAGGAACAGTGATTTTGCATCTGCATAAACATTTGCTAAGTGCTTCTTTACATATTATCAGATCCCAACTTCTGCTTCTCAAAAACATTAAAATAGGCAAAGGACATTAAACAAATGACCTTTGTCTGACAATGAACTTACGGGTAAATGTCCAGACTGTCAGCTACACTGATATCCCAAAGACTTTCTTTGCCAAAGCGAACTTGTGTAACATTTATTATCTCTTCTGACAAAACAGAATCTTTAGCAACAGAAGTGGTTTATGCAAATACAACTTACATAATGACTGAGCATGTGCGCACACTAGGTACAGCCTTACCTTCCTCCATCTTTCTGAGGTGAAGTACAATAAGGTTGGAGATTCGGCAGTACTCGGGGAAGCTCAGCCTTAAGGAGGCTTTAGGAACCAAATCTTGGTTTATGTCTTCACTGTGGCCATTGATTCCATTCACAGGAGCAGGGCTGTCAACATGACCTACGTAAAATATCAACCATCTGAATCTTGTTTTTGTGCCTCCAATACTCCCCTATCAAATGTTTGTAAGTATACTACTTCTATTTTAATACTAACTTCTAAATAAACATTTAGTTATACTCGGTATTTAGTAATTTTACAAATAAATTAGAAGCAAATTTGTAAATGCTACTAGTGAAGACAAAAACTAATTTGGAAGCGGGTGCTTGGGTGGCTCAGTTGGTTAAAGGTCTGACTCTTGATTTTGGCTCAAGTCAGGACCTCAGGGTTGTGAGATGGAGCCCCACGAAGGACTCCATGTGTGGAGCCTCCCTAAGATTCTCTCTGCCTCTTGTCCCTCCTTGTGTGAGTGCACTCTCTCTCTCAAAACAACAAACCCAAAAAAACCTAAAGTGGAAGGAATGGGAAGGATGGCAGATAAAAAGATTTCATGATCTAAAAGTTCATTTGCAATATTATACGCACAATTTAAAAATCTGGTATTTGTCTGGAACATGTGTTTAATTCAAAAGCAAAATAATGATAAATAAGGCCGGGGAATTAGGTCCACTCTCGCCATTTTGGTATATTTTCTTTCAGTCTTTCAAGCATATATATTTTATATTAACTATTTAATTGTATTTTACTTTGTAAATAGTACAATTCAATATCCATTTTTTCCCTTTTGCTATACAGACTTCAAAACTATCAACAAGTACACTTTTACCGTAACATCTCAGAGAACATTTTGGTCCCTAACTCCAGAACAGTAAACAATTGTCTCACCATTGATGCCATCTGGGCCCTCATCTACCTCCATCTGGGCCTCTTCTTCTTGATCTAGATTAACATCAGGTGTTTCTACACGGATGATTGACTTATTCAGTAGCCTGAAAGCTTCCTTCACATGTTTAGGCTGGACCTAAACCAATCAAGATGAAGTAAATCAGAAAGTCAGTGTTCTTGATATACCACACAGATTTTCTCCATACCAAATCACAGTGGCATTTTAGTTTTCTCACACACACATAGAATATGAGTTAACACCATAAATTCACCAGAATGGCTTATAAGGACCAATAATATATAGTACTGGAAAGAATGTAAAACAACTTTCATTCACTGCTGGTAGGAATATAAATTGATACAACCACTATGGAAAAGCATTTTGGCAGTCTTTACTGAACTGAACACACCTACAACCTATGACAACAATTCCACTTCTAGGTGTATACCCAACAGAAATGTACACACACATATATACCATACAGACCAAAAGACATGTATATCCCATTAGAACCCAAACTGGAAACTTTCCAAATATCCATTAACAGAAGAGGTGAATCATTATGATATATTGACAGAATATTACAAAGCAATGAAAACAGGCAAACTATTGCTACACAAAGCCTAGATGATATCTTATAGTGTTAATGCTGTATAAAAGAAACCAGACACAAGGGGGGACATATTATATGACAACGCTTATATAAAGTAATGGTTATCCTTAAATCCTCACATATATGGTCAAATTATTTTTGACAAGGGTGTCAAGACCACTCCTTGGGGAAAGCATAGTCTCTTCAACAAATGGTACTGTGGAAACTGGGTATCTTATATAAAAGAATGAAGTTAGACCCCTGCCTTACATCATATACAAAATTAACTCAAAATAGACTGAAGATCTAAAACTATAAAACTTTTTTAAGAAAACACAGGAAAAAAGCCTCAGGACATTGGATTTGAGAATGGTGTCAAAAGCATAGGCAACAAAAGGAAAAATGACAAATGAAACAGTATACAATTCCAAAAAACTTCTGAGCATTAGGGTAATCAACAGAGTAAAAAAGGCAACCTACAGAATGGGATAAAGTATCTGCACGTTATATATCTAATAAGGGATTAATATCCAAAACATATAAATTCCCATGTTCATCACAGCATTATTCACAACAGCCAAGAGGTGGAAATGACCCAAATGTCCACTGATGGATCAATGGGTAAATAAAATGTGGTACACAGTATCTCCCCTTATTCTCAGGGATTGTGTTCCAAGACCCCCAGTGGATGCCTAAACTGCAGATAGTACTTAACCTTACATAAACTGTTTTTTCCTATTCATACATACCTATGATAAAGTTTAATTTATCAATTAGGTACAGTAAGTGCTTAACAATAACTAATAATAAAATGGAACAATTACAACAATATACTGTAATAAAAGTTACGTGAATGTGGTCTCTTTCAAAATAACTTATTATATTGTACTCACCCTTCTTGTGATGTGATGATGTAGCTTTAGGCTACTACTGACTTTCTCACAATACTTCAGGAGGATCATCTACCTCTTAATGGTAACTCACCTCTATATGTACTCTATAATCTGTGACATGATTATTTCATCATATTAATCTAACTATATTTAATAAATGTTTACCAGCAACCTTCAAGGGACAAATCCTAGCATCGTGTACCCTATGAGCACTCAATTGTCATACCAAAGATAAAAACATGCTTATAAACCAACAAATCAATTGCTCTTTCCTCCTGTTATGTTAAAGTGACTTTGATACCTCGTCACAGCAGTGCATTCGAGCCATTGCTTCAGAGAGACGGATCATACTCTCGAGTTGTCGTACTGTAATCCTCCATGAAGACTTGGTTACCCCAGAGCCATCCCTCTGGCGGAGACGTTTATACTGTTCCACAATGAAGTCCTCTGACTCTTTAGAAATCTGTTTCAGAACATCACCGAAGTCAGAGCTTTTCTACTTGATGGGAGCTGCATTAAACATTAAGTTTAAGAGCCTTCCAGGTAGAGACACTCTGGGGAACTGTAAGGGTCAAAACTCTGTAGTCAACAAAGAATTAACACTGAAATGCATTTCAAAAGAAATTAAACTGGGGTGCCTGGGTGGCTCAGTTGGTTAAGGGACTGCCTTTGGCTTAGGTCATGTTCCTAAGGTCCTGGGATTGAGCCCCACATCAGGCTCCCTGCTCAGCGGGGCGCCTGCTTCTCCCTCTCCTTCTGTTGCTCCCCCTGCCTGTGCTCTCCTGCTCTCTAATTAAATAAAATCTTAAAAAAAAACCCAACAAAAAACACTAAACTAAGGACGCCTATGAATTTCATATACTGATTTTGTCAACAGGAATACAGCAGGGTAGTTAAGCAAATGCCATTTCTAAAAGACACAGAACAAGCTAAAGCAGTGGAATAGGATGTAATGCCTTTTAAACCCAAGATGCCAAAGCTCATTAAAAAAATTAATGCTCAAACTATTCTTGAAACTCAGTTAATTAACTTATGCTGTCTTAAAAGGAGAGGTCTACACACACACACACCCAGCTATTTCAGTAAACCTTATTATTTGTTGAATAATAACAACAAAGTGAGAATACTAAAAAGAATACTCAGTTTTTCAGAGCGAGGAACTCAGCCCATTAAGGAAGGCTGCCAAGGTCACAGGACAGGTACACAGTCATAGAGAACAAAAGCCTCCTTAAACATACGTGACCAATACCCCTTAGTTTTAAATGCCTCATTAAGCTTCTTTCAGGACAATGAGAATCAAATCCCAATTTTATGGATAATCAGTGAAGGTGATAGATAATTAAAATCTAAGGGCAACTCCCAAAAGTTGAGCCAGACAATAGTGTAAAAACCTCACCCAGAATCAATTTTTTTTTTTTTTTGGTATTCTATTTTAGGAAAATGTTAAACAAAACAAATGGATTACGAAGTTTACTTTAAAAATAAATGTCCTGGATCCAGTACAGATTCAATTAAATGAACTACATTAATTATTGTAAAATATTAAGCCATGTTCATCACAATGACCTAAAGGAATCCAAATTTTTCCTTAAAGATTCCAGAACATTCAGTAGACTACTGATTTGAGCTCATATAATTTTAAGATTCTTAGGAATAATGGTTGAAATAAAAATATGTCTGATTTTATTTGGTTATCCAAAATTCTTCACCCATAAAAATCTTTTTATTAGTACCCAACAAGTAAAAGAAAATTATTCACATTTTTATTTTTTTATTTATTTCTTTTAAAGATTTTATTTATGTGTTCATGAGAGACAGAGAGAGAGAGAGAGAGAGAGAGAGAAAGAGAAGTGGAGGGAGAAGCAAGCTCCCAAGGAGCAGGGAGCCCGATATGGGACTGGATCCCAGGACCCTGGGATCATGACCTGAGCTGAAGGCAGACGCATTAACCATCTGAGCCACCCAGGTGCCCAAAATTATTCACATTTTTGGAAAATTTCCTCTTCCCAATTTTCTGAAGAAACATTGTTCTCAAAAAAGAAAACCTCAGGGCGCCTGGGTGGCTCAGTTGGTTAAGCAACTGCCTTCGGCTCAGGTCATGATCCTGGAGTTCCCTGGATCGAGTCCCACATCGGGCTCCCTGCTCAGCGGGGAGTCTGCTTCTCTCTCTGACCCTCCCCCGTCTCATGTGCTCTCTCTCTCAAATAAATAAAATCTTTAAAAAAAAAAAAAAGAAAACCTCAGAAAAACAAACAAAAAACCCCCAAAAAACAAAAAAAAACCCCAAACAAGTATAGGTTCAGTTAATTTCCACAGAATCCTTTTTAATGCCATCTTCAATGCCCTATTCCAGTACAAAAGGGCAAGTTACCTTGGGTTTAAACTGTCTTGCAAAGAGAAGATACCTCCTGATATCGTCAAGGGAATAGACACGATCAATGGAATCCTCAATTCTTGAATGCAAGTCTACTATACGTCTGGCAATAGCATAATCTGTAACCTAATTCAAAAGAAGAAAATCACTTTGGTCAGTCACAATAATATCCACTCCAGATTACCCCTGGCATTACAAAATTATTTATAGCTAAGAACAAGTTCTAATATGCCAATAAAAGCTGTATCAATGGGTACCAAGTTTCTGAGCAAAATTTGGTAACAGTTTCATTTAAAATCAGAAGTTCTTTTTTTTTTTTTTAAAGATTTTTATTTATTTATTTGACAGAGAGAAACAGCGAGAGAGGGAACACAAGCAGGGGGAGTGTGAGAGGGAGAAGCAGGCTTCCCGCAGAGCAGGAAGCCCGATGTGGGGCTTGATCCCAGGACCATGGGATCATGACCTGAGCCGAAGGCAGACGCTTAACGACTGAGCCACCCAGGCGCCCCTAAAATCAAAAGTTTAATGCATACCTTTGCCCCACGCTAAGAATATTCCTGAAGAAATTAACGGACTTTAAGAACACCAGAATTAAGATTTCTAAGGTGCTCCGTATATGCCAGGCACTGTTGCCTTAAGTGTGTCTAGAAGCATTTAACTCATGCAACCCTCACAAAAATCTTATTAGGTAGGTAATATTATCCCTATTTTACAGATTAGTAAATTGAGGCCCAGAGAGGTAAAGCAGCTTTTCTGACATCACAATACATAATGGAGCCAGGATTTGAACAGTCTAGCTTCAGAGTCCATGCTCTTAGCCACAATATTATATTGCCACTTGTGAATATATGAAGATAATCAAAGAATTGTTATTCACATTGAAAAAAAAGATGCCTAGGTGGCTCAGTCAGTTAAGTGGCTGCCTGCCACTCCTCCCTGCATATGCTCTCTTTCTGACAAATAAATGAATAAAATCTTAAAAAAAAACCCACACACTAAAAATAAACAATTTTCTCTCCTATAGTACAAAAAAACCATAGATAGAGAAATGTTAATATGTGAATAAAGGGTACAGGGGTGCTACATGCACTATTCTATTTCTTGCAACTTTTCTGTCAGTTTGAAATTATTTCCAATTAAAAAGTTTAAAAACTAAATTAAAGAATCACACACAGGGGCACCTGGGTGGCTCAGTCGGTTAAGTGGCTGCCTTCGGCTCAGGTCATGATCCCATGGTCCTGGGATCAAGCCCCACATAGGGCTCTCTGCTCAGCAGGGAGCCTGCTTCTCCCTCTCCCTCTGCCTACCACTCTGCCTATTTGTGCTCTGTCAAATAAATAAATAAATAAAATCTTTAAAGCATCACACACAAACACAAATACATGAAAATCAGACAACTCCAAGCTATGAGGATGGAGATAGGGAAGGGGGAGGGCTGGGTTAAATATTTATATGGATTTGTGAAGGGAAAAAACAAAACATAAAAAACTAAAAATCCCCAAACATTCACATAATGGAAGGCAGCTTTTATTTAGATAATAAAGTTTCGCTATAAGCAAGGGGTAATCGTTTTGTCTAATGTAATGTAGGACTTTCATGCTCAGCAATTAACAGTATAGCCTAGAATGTTAGCTTCCATATAGTGTCATTTTGTACTTCTGTGCACATCTGAGCTGTGCAATGTGGCTGAATATTTAAGTCTAGGTATAAATAACTTTAATAACATGTTAGAATCCAAGTAAATCTACAAGCTTATAGTTAACCTTAGAACTGTTATATGATTAGGAAAAAGTGTGATATACATTCAACAACTGGATGGGAAGATATAGGAAGATAAATGACTCATGATTTGGTGGAAAAAAACCAATTTTTTCCAAGTTTACTAAAAAACAAACAAAAAACAACACCCAACAACAAAAAAAAATTCCTGTAAAAATCTTTAATAAGAGTATGGCTGGGAGTTAACCATAATGTTTCCTTTTATCTCTTCAGAATTAAGAAAACAGTAACAAAAACAACAAAAAACTCAATATTCCTCAGCACAATTAAGTGGAACCGGCAATTAAAGTGACTTTATTTTGATTTTCTTAATAAACCTTTTGCTCCATCTTATGCCATTCTGAGAGAAATGAAAGTGCGAACACATGCACCAGCCATTCAAGAGTATATCCTACGTTCTTGTCTCCTTCAGTTACTCAAATTGGAAATAACAAAGGAAGCCAAATGTGACAGTTCACACAGTTACCTCATTACATTCATCCACAAGTATAAAGAAGAGATCAAATCGGGACATGATGGGAGCTGACAAATTTATATTTTGTTTCAAAGATTTTGATCTGTCATAGTGTCCACTGATTGGGTTTGCTGCTGCCAAAATGGACGTCCTGGCATTCAGAGTAGCCTGACCATAAAAGAAATCATTGTTACAGGTTTAAAAAGACATCTGGAATGGTCAATAAACATAGGACAAAATGCTCACTCTTACTCATAATTAACTAAATGCAAACCAAAATATTAAGGCATCATTTTTCACCTACTGAATCATCAAAATTAAAGTCTGGTAATGTATAGCAAACAGGCACTCCCATATTAATGGTGGGGTATGACCCACATTTTTTAAGCCAGCAATTTGTTAGGAATTTATCTTGCAGGTAGGTACAGGAAGATGCATGTTCAAGGATATTTACTACAATATGGCTTGTAATCAAAAGGCTGAAAATGACCAAATGTCATTCTATGGGTGTCTAATGAGCCAAACTGGGGGACACAAGACTTGAAAACCATGTGGTAAAATAAATACTAAAATGGATCTAATGTGTGCTGGTATAGAAAGATTCCCAAAACAAAATTATGAAGTTAAATGAGAAAAGAACTAACTTATATGTATTGTGCTTACTTATATATGAAAAATTTCTAAAAGGGCCATAACTTCTGAACATCTATTGGTGATAGGAGTTGCAGGGGAAGATTTCACCTTTTAATTTATATTTTATTCTACTGCTTAAATTTTCCTTACCTATTTGAATGCGTTACTTTTATTTAAAAAGTTTGGTTTCTCTCTAATGTTGGTTACAATACTGTACTTATTTTCATTTAAATAATCTTTTGACTCTGATTATTTTTTGTTACAACTTGAAGCACACATTATCAAAGAATATAGAAGCTTGGCGGCAATTCTGAGAAGTGAAATGCTAAAAATTTTACCAATACTTTCTCTATTTTCTGTCAGAGCAATACATTTTCTAAGTACCCTAGAAAGCGCCTATAATTTGGATTAATAATGCTCAGGGCTATGTTTCCCACTTTAATGATCAGCATTTCATGTTGAAATAATGCATTTTATCCAACGTCTCTAGAGCTACACTAATCTTTAAGGCTAAGGCATGATGCAGCAGAACAGAAGTGAACATACATACCTTCACTCCTGCTTTAGTGATAGAGATGGTCTGCTGTTCCATAGCCTCGTGAATAGCAACTTGATCCCGCACATCCATCTTATCAAATTCATCAATACAACATACACCCTTGTAATCAAACAAAGTAGCATAAGAAACTGTCTTTGAGATGTCAAATGCCAAGTATAAACTCAAGTTTGCTACTACAGAGATCTTTTCATTCTCTAAATAACTCTAAGGTAGGTAACTAAGCAATCTTAATTTCCCCTACTAGATAGAGTAGGATAGTTCGACAGATTCCAGAGCTAGAAGGAACCATGTATGTTGACTCATTTTAAACCAAGAGCAAGATTAAAAACATACAGTTACTGCATCCTTATTCAACATCAGAACTTTGTGTAAATCTCTAGGTCAAATATTCTGGGTCACCTTGGCATTCATTTTAGGCTGGGGTAGTGAAGGGTAAAGTTGGAACAACATTTATAAACATATAGCTACAGCTTATATGCCTTCACAGATCTAACAGATCTATGTCAAATACATGTAAAATGCAAGAGACATACTCATAGAGGTGTCATGGTCTGGAAAGGAACAAATGCTGGGAACTACTAGTCACAGCAAACACACGCTCAGGGCAGGCGATACATTCTAGAGAAGCTCAGAAAGCAATTAATGATGACTATCTCAAATTCTAAGTTAATAAAACTATGAATTATTTACTAAAAATGGGTTTTTTTAAAAGGCTATCTCTTTAATAGAAATTTATAGGCCTTTTTGATACAGTAGGGGCTGTTCTGATTTCTTTAGTAAAGTATAAAATGTTCTTACATTATCAGCCAACATCAAAGCTCCAGCTTCAATGACAAATTCATGAGATTCTTCATCTCTTACAACAGCTGCTGTTAAGCCAGCAGCACTGGATGCTTTGCCACTGGTGTAGACAGCTCTGGGGCTGAACTCCTCCACGTGCCTGCTCAACATTATCATATTCATTACCAAATGGCTACAAAAGCATCCTTTCTAGAAATGTCAGTTGACAGGGCTTATGTCAATCAAAAATTGAAATTTCTTAAAGAACATCTGAGAGAGGTATTAAACATAAGCACTTCATAAAGACACATGTCACAGACTAAACAGAAAGCCTTTTATCTCCTTTGGCCTTTTAAATCAACTTAAATCCATTCCTGTCAAATGGAAGATGAAGTTCATACATGACAAGAACATCATTTTATTTTATTTTTTATTATGTTATGTTAATCACCATACATTACATCATTAGTATTTGATGTAGTGTTCCATGATTGCTCGTGTATAACACCCAGTGCTCCATGCAGTACGTGCCCTCCTTAATACCCATCACCAGGCTAACCCATCCCTCCACCCCCTCCCCTCTAGAACCCTCAGTTTGTTTTTCAGAGTCCATAGTCTCTCATGGTCTGTCTCCCCCGACAAGAACATCATTTTAAAGAAGTGTTTAATAATTAAGTTTGGCAACAATGATCTATTAGAAGGCCTTGCACTTAAAAAACATGACAAAACTGTATCTGAGATTTATTCCAAAATAATAGGTTAGTTTAAGATCTAAACATTGATAATATGCCATAGCAACAGAATAAAGGATAAGAACCATCTCGATAGATGCAGAAAAAGCATGTGACAAAATCCAACACCCTTTTATGATAAAAAGTCAACAAACTAGAAATATAAGAGAACTGCCCACAACTTAATAAAGGTATCTATGAAATCCCACAGCTAACATCATAACTTAATGGTAATAGGCTGAATGCTTTCTCCCTAAGTTCAGGAACAAGATACAGATGTTTGCTCTTGTCATTTCTGTGCAACATTATACTGAAAAGTCTAGCCAGGGCAATTGGGGAAGAAAAACAAAAAGGCACCTATATTTAAAAGGAAGAACTGTCACTATTCCCAGATAACATGACCTTATAGTTAGAAAATCCTATGGAATCCACTAAAACAGAATAAATGAGTGATTGCAAGGTTGCAAGGTAAAAGATCAACAATCTATTATATTTCTATACACCTGCAATGAACAAGTCAAAAATGAAAATAAGAAAACAGTTCTATTTACAATAGCATGAAAAAGAATAAAACACTTATGAACAAATTTAAGAAGCACAAGCTTATACTGTGAAAACTACAAAACACTGTTGAAAAAAATTAAAAACCTAAATAAATGCAAAGATATCCCATGTTCATGGATCAGAAGACTTAAAATTGTTAAAAAGATAATATACCTCAAATTGATCTACACATTAATGCAATCTCTATTAGCATCACAACTCGCTTCTTTGTAGAAACTGACAAAACAGATCCTAAAATTCATGTAGGGGACACCTGGGTGTCTCAGCTGGTTGGATGTTCGATTCTTGATTTCAGCTTGGATCATGATCTCAGGGTTGTGAGATCGAGCCCCACATTGGGCTCCACTCTGGATGTGAAGCCTGCTTGGGATTCTCTTTCTCCCTCTCCCTCTGCTCCTCCCCCTGCCACTCAAGTGCGCTCTCTCTAAAATAAACTAAAAAATAAAAAATAAAATAATAAAATTCATGTGAAAACTCAAGGTACCCAGAATAGCCAAAACAATCTGGAAAAAGAAGAGTCGGATGACTCACATTTCTGATTTTAAAACTTACTACAAAACTATAATAATCAAGATAGTGTGGTATTGGCCTAAGGACAGACATCGAGATTATGAAATATAACTGAGAGTCCAGAAATAAACCCTGACACTTACAGTCAACTGATTTTCAACAAAGGTACCAAAAACAATTCAACAGGCTGAAAGAATAGTCTTGGCATTCAAATAACTGGATATCCACAGGCAAAAGAATAAAGTTGGACCCCTACCTCATACTATGTAAAAAATTAACTCAAAATGGATCAAGGACCTTATTTACTTATTTATTTGAGAGAGAGACAGAGAGAGAGAGAGAGAGAGAAAACACTAGTGGGGGGAGGAGAAGAGGGAGAGGGAGAAGCAGACTCCCCGCTGAGCACAGAGCCCGATGTGGGGCTGGATCCCAGGACTCCAGGACCATGACCTGAGACAACTGCAGATGCTTAACCAACTGAGCCACCCAGGCGCCCCAAGGACCTAAATTTTAAAAGCTAAAATTAACCCAAAGAATTGCAAGAAGAGACTTGAACATATACTTGCACATCAATGTTCACAGCAGCATTATTCACAATAGCCCAAAGGTGGAAACCCAAATGTCTATCAATGGATGAACAGATAAAACAAAAGGTGGTTAAGTCCATACAATCGATTCTTATTCACTCTTTAAAAGAAAGGAATTCTAAGATATTCTACAACATGGATGACCCCTCAAATATTATGCTAAGTAAAATAAACCAGTCACAAAAGGACAAATACTGTATGATTCCATGTATATGAGCGACCTAGAATAATCAAATTTAGAGACAGAAAGTAGGATGGTGGTTGCTAGGGGCTGGGACAGGGGTAAATGTGAAGTTACTGTTTTAATGCAGAGACTTTCAGTTTGGGAGATGAAGGAGTTCTGAAGATGGATGGTGGTGATGACTGCACAATTTGAATGTACTTAATGTCACTGAAATGTACATATAAAAATGTTTAAAATGGTAAATGTGATGTGTATTTTACAATTAAAAAAATGGTGAAAACTTATATGCTAATGTTCATAGCAGCACTGCTTAAAAAAGCCAAAGTAAAAACAATCCAAATGCCCATTAACTGATAAATAGACAATTAAATGTGGTAAATACATATGACAGAATATTAGGTAATAAAAGGATATGAAGTACTGGCATGCTCCAACATGGCTGAACCTTGAACACATTATGCTAAGTAGAAGCCAGTCACAATGAATCACATAGTATATGATTCCATTTACAGGAAATGTCCAGATAGAGACTCAAACATGGATTAGTGTTTGCCTATGGCCAGTGGGGAGAATAAAGACTGCTAGTGGGTACGGGATTTCTTTTTGGGTAATGAAAATGTTGTAAACTTAGTTTGGTGATGGTCATACAACACTGTGAATATACTAAAACCACTGAACTGTATACTTTGAAGAGGTGAATTTTATGATATGGAAATTATATTGCCATAAAGATGCTAAAAGATATAAATAGAATAAAGGCTATTTCTAAGAATTGTGTACAATTCTGTAACCAACAGCAACACTGTGGCACATCTTTTTGTGGTGGTGGAGGGAAGGTGGGAACAGAGGAAGTGAAGAAAGAAGAATCCCCCCCCTCCTTTTTAAAGATTTTATTTATTTGACATACAGAGAAAGAAAGAACGCAAACATAAGCAGGGGGAGCAGCAAAGGGAGAGGCAGGCTCCCTGCTGGGCAGGACCCTGGGATCATGACCTGAACCGAAGGCAGACACGTAACAGACTGAGCCACCCAGGCACCCCAGACGAATTCCTTTCAACCCAGGACTATTTTCAAATCTAAAGCCTAGTCCTTGATATATGTGAAGGAAATAATATTTACTTATAAAATTCCAAACTAAAAATGTTCTCTGTTCTAGAACAGTGCCATTTTACAAATTTCCCAAACAAATAAAGGGAAAGCAGCTTGATACGATATGAAGAGCACAAGCTTCACAGTCAGATACATCCGAATTCTAATATTCATGATTCAGCAGTCACTTGTTAGCTATGAGAAGTGGGTAATTTACTAAGTTTCAGAGAAGTTTTGTTTGCCTCCCCACAAAAAGATGATTATTTTACATGCCTGTCTGGGTGCTGCTAGGACAAGATGCATATACATATACAGCACCAAGAACACAGCAGGTGTTTCAAAACTGGTTGCTATTATTTTGACCTCAAAGTTTCTTAAAGTTTGAAAGTAAGCAAGTATTTGCTATAGCTTCTAAAAATAAGCAAAACTGCTAAAATAGTACACATGCTGATAAGGTTAGCATAACGTGTCTCATCCTTATTGCACTGCTATTGGAAAGCAGCGTCCTAGTTAAAAACCTTAAAAATGGGGGCGCCTGGGTGGCTCAGTCGTTAGGCGTCTGCCTTCGGCTCAGATCATGATCTCAGGGTCCTGGGATCGAGCCCCGCATCGGGCTCCCTGCTCCGTGGGAAGCCTGCTTCTCCCTCTCCCACTCCCCCTGCTTGTGTTCCCTCTCTTGCTGTGTCTCTCTCTGTCAAATAAATAAAATCTTAAAAAAAACAAAAAACAAAAAACAAAAAAAACCTTAAAAATGTTTGTATCCTTAGTCTCAGCAATCCCATGCTTAGGGATTTTCCCAAAGGAAACAAAACAAAATATTTATACAAATCATTATGTTCACTGTATCGATATCCATAATCATTAAAATAAATGAAGACAGGCTAGGAAAATAATTTTTAAGTTATAGTACACCAGTAAAAAATGGTGAAAATAAACATGGAAAAATATTTAGGGCAAATTAAAATTAAAAATTGCTATGCTGGGGCGCCTGGGTGGCTCAGTCGTTAAGCAGAGCCTTCGGCTCACGTCATGATCCCAGGGTCTGGGATCGAGCTCCGCCATCGGGCTCCCTGCTCCATGGGAAGCCTGCTTCTCCCTCTCCCACTCCCCCTGCTTGTGTTCCCTCCCTCGCTGTGTCTCTCTCTGTCAAATAAATAAATGAAATCTTAAAAAAAAAAAAAACAACAAAACAGCTATGCTATGATTTATAACCATGAAAATACATATTCATATATCCAAAGACTTATAAAAAGATTATACAAAGACATTATACAAGGATTAAAAGAATTCTAAATGGGATTGAGATTATAGGCAATTTTTCCCTGTTCTAAAAAATTGTAAAATGTTGTCACATTCTGTTAAACAAATTAAGGTGATTTAATCTAAGCAAGTTATATTTTCAACAGTCACAATCTATACTCCTGCTTTAGTAAAGGCACACTGACTGCATTCTTGACAGCACAGAAACCCTGGAACTATACACACTGTTTTTTCCAATGTACTACCTCAGGCAAACACTTACTTGAGAAACTGGCTCTTAGCTGTACTTGGGTCACCAACAATGCAAACATTTATGTCCCCTCGAAGAGAGGTTCCTTCCCCTGTTGTCTTTGGAACACCACCAAAGAGCATCAGCAAGACACCCCGTTTTACTTCATCATTACCTAAAAAGAAAACACAAGGTATTTTTCAGTATGAGGTTAAACAATTTCACAAGAAACTACAAGGCATGTTTACTAATCAAGAGCCAGGAGAGCTGAAGTGAAGTGTAAGACTGAATAAAAATATCTGGCCTCTAATCTTGGTTCTTGCTTTGTGAACTTAAAGCCACCTAACCACTGTCCCAATTTTCTCACCTATACCACAGATGTCACAAATGGTGATGTTCACCATCCTAAGAGCCTTTCCTTCAAGTCCTACTTCCTCATAAAGCCTTTTCTGATGTAGTACTTCTCAAAATAACTCTATAAATAAACTATGTCCAGCACAGCACACTGCACTTACTAGTTCTAACAGCAGATCTTGCTGTTGTATCGAGAGTTTGAGGAAACAGTCCATGATTTACTTCTTTTGTATCACCAATAGTGAATAGTGCTAAATACAAAAACACTCTAAATGAACTGCTATGGATTAGGTAAGATGCTGAATGTGATTTATGGCTGCTTCTACAAGCTTTTTATGAATCCAATATAAGAAGGAAATGTACAGTAAAAAAACTGGATCTTTAAAAATGTGCAGTTTGGGGCGCCTGGGTGGCTCAGTTGTTAAGCGTCTGCCTTCGGCTCAGGTCATGATCCCAGGATCCTGGGATCGAGCCCTGCATCGGGCTCCCCGCTCCGTGGGAAGCCTGCTTCTCCTTCTCCCACTCCCCCTGCTTGTGTTCCCTCTCTCGCTGTGTCTTTCTCTGTCAAATAAATAAATAAAATCTTTAGAAAAAAAAATGTGCGGTTAAAAAACCATTTTTTTCTGTGCTAATTACTATGACTTTTTGTGAATTCTATCAACTAAGCACTGGGCACATTTACACAAACCATCCCTTAAAGGCAGAAAAAAGAATCCATTCCACAAACAAAACTTCTCTGACTTATGATCTTTGAAACAAATGTGTTGGGAAGCATCATGGTTTTTAAATAGTACGCAATTTCTTTGATTCTTCTCACTTGAAAATGGACCTTAAGTCTTTTCTCTTTAGGAGTGGCTGGCCTTCACATCTTGCTTCTAAAAAATAGCACATGGTGAAGTGAGGGTATGTAATTTCTGAGACTAGGTAGGTCCTGAGAAGCATTTTATTTCCTCCCTGCTTTGCTCTCTTGAATGCATGATCTAGAGGGAGCCAGCTGCCGGTTTGTGAGAACACTAAAACAGCCCTATGGAAGAGAGTTATGTGGCAAGGAATTGAGCTAACAGCTAGCACTAACAGGTAAGTCCTTCAGCCTAGTCAACCTTTCAGATGACTGCAGCCCCAGCTGATATCTTAGCTGCATCCTTGTGAAAGACTGAGTAGGAACCACTCAGCCAGAACCACCCAACTAAGCTTCTCTCAAATCCTGACCCATAGACTGTATGAGACACTATTTGTTGTTTGAAGCCACTAAGTTTTGGGGGTAATTTGTTATGCAGCAATAGATTAATTTCTGGGGGCGGGGGGAATAGAGAGCTAGATCAAAATTTGGACTCCTACTCAATTAAGGGAGGACACTCTAAAATCCATAAAAGATTATTAACCTAAAGGATTTCAGTTCCATTTCACTGGCCAAATATTTAGATAGAAAAAAAAATTACTTTACTTTTAAATAGTTAAAAATATATACCTAAAAGAAATACCCATAACCCCATGAGTTCCTGCCATAACTCCAACTCAGTATGAAAGGATGGAAAAAACAAGGGTAAAGCATGAGGCTTGAAAATTTAGTCATATCCTTCAACACACAAAGGGGATTAAATGATGGTGAGCAACTAGCAACCAAGAGCCAAGGAAACATAAAGAAACCACTGAAAGTATAGACATAGTACATATAACCAAGAAACATCATGAAATCTCCTTCTTGAAAAAAAAAATCAGTATATTAGTCTAATATATTAGAATATACCTAAGTACAGTTCTACCCTAAAGCCAGAAAAAGAAGCCTAAATGAACTTTTTTCTTGAAAAAAAAAAGATGTTAAAATATACATAAAATTTCCTATCATTTCTAAGTGTACAATTCAGCTGAATTAAATACACTATGTTTTATAACCACCACTCTTATCCGTCTCCAGAACTTTTCGTCATCCTCAAGAAAGACTTTATCCATGAAACACTAACTCCCCAGTCCTCCACCCCCCAGGTAACCTCTATTTTGTGTCCCTATGAACTTGCCTATTCTAGGTACTTCATTTTACGTGCAATCATGTAATATCTGTCCTTTTGTTAATGACTTTAATACCCCTTGTAAGTCCACTAAAAAACCTTTTGATCTGATTTATGTGCTGTAAGAAATCACTTATTGCTGTTTTAAAAAAAATTTTAAGTTCCAGTATAGTTAACATAGGTATTCATTGCTATTTCTTAATCATCATTTTGATTTCAAGTTTATGCCACAAATGGAAAGAACTCTTACCATGTATAGTAGGGAACAGGCTGGTACAGAGATTGTGGTACAGATTTTTATCCTGACTCATTTCAAACACTTTCTCCCACTCCTTCACAGTCATTTGGTTCTTAATGCTCTCAGCGGTCTGTTCCTCATCTCGGAGCTCTTTCCCTCCAAACTGAGGGGTGGAGAAGAAAAGAAAATATACTTGCATGGAAACAGTCAAAGTAAAGTGAAACAGAAAGAAAGAGCTTCATTACAAACAAAACAATAGCCTGGGAAGTCAACTTCAGAATCTCTTGACTACAAAGGTTTTCAAAAATATCCCCAAACTTGTAAGGCCTAAGTTAATCAAAATACCGAAGTTTGTCATTTCTCCAGTGAATTGAAAACAAAAAAGCTAACACTGTTTTATATTGCTATCGAAATGAATCTGAATGCTCAAGAGATGAGCCATAATAAAATGTTAATCACTGATACGAACATAAAGTAACATAGTATTATATTCACCCTTCTTCTTCCAATACTGGACTATTTTCCAAACTTTTTCTCACTGCTTTTCCACTAAGGACACAGAATCAAGTTTTACACAACTATTAATACCAGGAATCCATCGCTCACAGAAAGATCAAGTTACTTTAATTCCCAGATTACTAAATTTTTCTATTTGTACTCTCTCCAGGAGCATGACAGAGCAACTGTGTTAATTAAAAAAACAGTAAAATTATACCATGGATAATTTTTATCAATGTTCTTAAGGCTTTGAGCTCTTAAACATGAAAACAGGTTTTTCCTCAAGGTCAGAAACACATGAAAAGATTTGAATCAGGGGTGCCTGGGTTGCTCAGTTGCAACTGCCTTTGGCTCAGGTCATGATCTCGGGATCCTGGGATTGAGCCCCGCATCAGGCTCCCTGCTCAAAGGGAGTCCCTCTCCTTCTGCTGCTTGCTCATGCGAGCTCTCTCACAAATAAAAATCTTAAAAAAAAAAACAAAAAAACCAAACAGCCAAAAAACACAAAAACTACAGAACCCCCCCACCCCACCATTAACACTGACTAGATAACTCAGCATTTTCAGAAGCCTATATTGTTGTGGCAGCCCCAGGGGAGGTCTTTCTCAACCTTTTCCATTCTATTAAGACTCACCCTTGGGTTGGTGGGTGCAACACAGCATGCAAGAAAGACCAGCCTGTATGAAAGATCCCTAACACCAAGAGCCCGGAGTCCTCGAATGCCTTCCGTCTCATATCCATCAACACCACTTACACGGGAATTAGTTTCTGCACGTGCTCCTGAAAGAATGAATGACAGTTTCACAGCTCAAATATCAAAGGTGCTGAGAATCAAAATTGCTTAAATAAACAAAACCGATAAATCCAAAGATTTCATTTAGGCCTTGAAATTTTTCAGGACTGTACTGTGTGATGCAAAATCAATTTGTCTCTATTCTTATCATATTTCCTTCGTCGCCTTGATGGATAGCCAAAAATAAGGAAGATTCAAGAAGCTGAATGTTCCTTAGTTTCAGGTAATGAGAATTTGTTAGATTTGAGCCAAAGATTACTGACCTGGTATGCTAAGCTTAGAGACATCAGGCACAACAATTAGAGTCCCTGTAAAGTCGCACTTGTCACCAGCTTGAGCTGATTCCACAGCTTCAGCTCTCAAGATCACTTCTAAACTTCGGGGGATACTCCCTCGAGGAAGCTCAGCTTGAGTCTCTTGAATACGAACCTGTTAACAATGGCCAAGAAGAAGAGATTATCTTTCAAATGCCATATAATCTAAATTAATGCCACAAATATCAACATATTCCAAATTCTTACCATTTGCAGACTTTTGACATTTGCCAAAATTCATCATAAAAATTCTCTACCCTAATACTCCTTGCAATTTGGTAAGAAATAACATCTACTTAAAAACTTCACCTTTAGGGGGCACCTGGGTGGCTCAGTTAGTTAAGTGTCTGCATTCAGCTCAGGTCATGATCCCAGGGTCCTGGGATGGAGTCCCACGTCGGGCTCCCTGCTCAGTGGGGAGTCTGCTTTTCCCTCGCCTTCTCCCTCTGTGTGCGTGCTCGTGCTCTCTCTCAAATAGTGCCTAAAGGTGAGTTATTAGCATAAACTGAATCTGAACGCAACAGAAGATAATACCTTTTGAAAATCAACAAATCTTGATTTATTTGTATCCAGCAAGAATCTCCTTCTGTTGGCACAAACTGGATTTCGGCAGATGTTCGGCTGTGTGTATTTGAACTGCTGTTCTACATCCTTGATCACTGTCTGACAGTCCAAGCACAGGAATGTTCCACTCACAAGCTCTGGGTGAACGGGATGAGTCCGTACCACCTGCCCACTGATGCGAGTGAGCAAACCAATTCTGGATGATGTGAGTTCTCGAATTCTGTTTAAAGATAGATGTCTCATTAGTAAATATTCATTTCCAAACTAAGAAATGTTTCTTTTTTTTTTTTAAAGATTTTATTTCTTTATTTGACAAAGAGATAGAGAGCACAAGTAAGCAGAGCAGCAGGCAGAGGGAGAGGGAGAAGCAGGCCTCCTGCTGAGCAGGGAGCCCAATGTGGGGCTCAATCCCAGGACCCTGGGATCATGATCTGAGCCGAAAGACACTTAACTGACTGAGCCACCCAAGCGCCCCGAAATGTTTCCATTTTAATGATAGGGTATTCAAGGGGCGCCTGGGTGGCTCAGTTGGTTGAGCGACTGCCTTCAGCTCAGGTCATGATCCTGGAGTCTCGGGATCGAGTCCCGCATCGGGCTCCCTGCTGTCAGCGGGGAGTCTGCTTCTCCCTCTGACTCTCCCCCCTCTCATGCTCCCTCTATCTCATTCTCTCTCTCAAATAAATAAAATCTTAAAAAAAAAAAATGATAGGGTATTCAAGGATAAATTTATGTTAAACAAACAAAAACACAAAAAAACAAGAGAAGGAATTCTTTGGACTTCTCCAAGAATGATTTAGTTAATGTGCCCATTCCTAAATTAGACAGTGTATATGCATTCACAGCAAAAAAAATCAGTATGGGGCGCCTGGGTGGCTCAGTTGGTTAAGCGGCTGCCTTCGGCTCAGGTCATGATCCTGGAGTCCCGGGATCGAGTCCCGCATCGGGCTCCCTGCTCGGCAGGGAGTCTGCTTCTCCCTCTGACCCTCTTCCCTCTTGTACTCTCTGTCTCTCATTCTTTCTCTCCAATAAAAAAAAATAAAAAAAAAATCAGTATGAAAACTAAATAAAGGACACCAAAGAAATGAAATTACAACTATAAAACAGATGATCCCATTTTATTTTATATGCAAATGTTCTCTGCTTACCTACAATTTCTAAATAATCATGTATTAGTTTCACAATAAAGTTATCATAGGAAAAAAATGGTATACTCAGAAGTTCAGAAACACTTCCTTTACCTCACAAACTCATTTTTATATTAAATAACTTGTTAATTTTACAAGTAATTTCAGTAGTTTCAGTTTTCAAAATATCACTTCAAATTCTTGCAGTAAATTTATTCTTTAAATAACTGCTAACAGGAAAAAATGTTTTAAAGTTATGCCATTTAAGCTATGACAAAAATTTCCAAAGATTCATGATTTTCTGTGACTGTTCTCAGTTTTCATATTTTCTCACTTGACTGATTTTTCCCCAGATGTCCCCTGAAAGGCGTCCTGAAATATGACAATCCCCAGAAATGGCTTGATTTATCTTACTTCCTATTTCATCTCCCTAGAAAAATGTATTTCTCCAAAACCAAACTTTCTAGATAACTAAGCCTAACTCTTTACACATATAAGACTAAACCTACGGGCGCCTGGGTGGCTCAGTTGATTAAGCATCTGCCTGCAGCTCAGATCATGATCCTGGGGTCCTGGGATCAAGCCCTGTGTTGCTCCCTGCTCTGCAGGGAGTCTGCTTCTTCCTCCCCCTCTGCCCCTCCTCCCTCCTTGTGCTCTCTCTCTTACTCGTGCTCTCTCAAGTAAATAGATAAAATCTTAAAAACAAAAAACAACTAAACCTCCTGAGTTTTTTAATCATTAATTGATGGCTATACTGTTTGGTGAATTCCTGTTCTTCCAAAGGTTTCTTACTTGTGTCTGGTAGGTAGGTCTTGGAATGCAACATAAAAATCCTTGGCAAGAGGAATCTCTTTTCGGTCTTTGACGAAGGTTTTCAAGGCCCGACATAGGTAAGGGTAAACTCTGAAAAGCAAACGAACAAAAATCACACGTCCTCTTCAAGAGGCCTACTAAGGCCTTTCATACTTAAAACAGCTGAAACTAAGCAATTTCATCTGGCTACAATCAAGCCTTAAAATTTAACTATGCAGGACACTTATATTGTCTAGTCTAGGTTTATGAGCCTCTTCCAATCCTCTCCTATCCACCACAAACAGATCTAAGACAAAAGAAACACAAAAGGTAAAATGCTATACCCAAATATCCACTATCTTTAAATTAGCACTTAGCACTGACACTGTAGGCTACTCCTCTGTCCAAGATGAATCTACCTGAACAATCTTGGTGGTTTACAATCCAGCAAGACAGTCTCTCATTTGATGTCAAGACCTGGTATATTTTTCTAGGTATAATTCTTGATTGATAAGAAATGGATGAGGGGAGAAGTTTGTGTACTGACATGAGAGCAAACTGGCAGAAACATACCACTTGACTGGTTAGACTGAAGTGTCTTGATACAAGTTCCCAGTAGTTGTTACAGCGTGGTTTGTTTTAAGCAGTGGGATCTGGAAGTCCTCTGAACAACGAGCTACCTTCAGGAGACAGAACTGCTACATGGCCTGGGCATGAGGTATGGGTATAGGTGTTTCTACCACCAGCCTGGATTTTCTATCTCCCTCACTTGTCAATACAACTTTTCCTGCTGTGTATTCTCACAATAAACTCTGCTGCTTATCCGTGCAACAGTTCCCAATGATCAGAAACACTGAAACAAGTCATCCATCTCCCAGCCCACCATGTAAAGGAACAGGGTTGTCTCTCCTTAGTTCTGGGTCTTCATTTCTCTTTCACAACTGTCCACAATGTTTATTTTAACCTGGTTTTATTTATACAGATTGTCACATTAATTGTTTATTTATATTATGTTATGTATGTTTATATGTTATTTATTAATTTATTAATCCAAATGCTGACAAAGATTTGTTTAAAGAGATGTTTCTTTTTTTTTAATTTTTTATTGTTATGTTAATCACCATATATTACATCATTAGTTTTTAAAGAGATGTTTCTTATTTTATACAGCAATTAAAAATAAAATGAAAGACTAAATTATTAATGTCTAGTTTCTGCCCAAAAGAAATACCATTCAGCTATTAAAATGTTTTCAAGGGATTTTATACTATATGGAAAATTATGTTATACTGTTAAGTGAAAGGGCAGGCGACTATATCTACAGTATGACCTCAATAGTTAAATAATACCCAGAAATAAAACAAAATGTGCCAGAAGATCCTTGGGAAACTCCACATTTGCAGACCTGCTAATGATGGTTATCTATGGATGGTGAGAATATATATGTAATCCCACTATCCACAGATATGTATGTATTCCGTCTACTTATCTCTACTTTCTACCTTTCCTACAACATACACATTACTTTCATAGAATCAGAAAAAATTAAACTTTAGGGACAATGTCATACTTTAAAGACACCCTGATCAAGAATAGGATCCACACACTTTCTCAAACACCTACTCCTGGGGGCAAGGGAAAGGATCAAAGAATGACACAGCAATAGCACTGAATGCCTGAAATATAGTAAGCGATCCTCTGAAAATGGGAAAGCTACATAGAAGGCATAGGTTTTCAACATTCGCATGTGAAAAATAATTCGGCTCCACAAAGGCCTAAATTAGTTCAACTAAAATGACCACTGGCTCTATCAAAGGGCCTCTGTAACAGCTGGCTTCTGCCTCACAAATGAACACTTGGCAGTTCAAGAAGATCTGGATTCACAGGCTCCATGCCTATTTAGAGTAAAGAAGATTAATACACCATACCTATAGAACTCTTCTTGAATTGTGGTAGAAAGTTGTTGGTTAAATTGCTCCAGGTCCACAAAACTCACAACCAACGTGTTTCTCTCGGGACGAATGAGCTCCTCTGCTAACTGTAAGTACTTAATTTCTCCATCACTGTTCTGGAACCTGCAGATACATGCAAGTCAGATTAAACTTAAGAATTAGGTAGTAAAAAGAAGAATCTAGATGCCTGATAATTCAGTGTATTGGTTAAAATTCATCAGCTGTAGGGTCAGACAGGCTCACTTTACTAACTGTGTAACTTGGGGCAAGTTACTTATCCCCCTTTTTTGAAAAAAAAAAAAATTAGGACATTCTCTCATAAGATTACTGTGAAGTTTAAATGAGGATGCCTGTAAAATGCTTTGCACAGAGCCCAGAACACAGAAAAACTAGGCCTTCAAATTTTAATCTGCATTTCTTAATTTAGTATTTTCTAATAAAAATGCCAACTAGGGGCGCCTGGGTTGCTCAGTCATTAAGCGTCTGCCTTCAGCTCAGGTCATGATCCCAGGGTCCTAGGATCAAGCCCCACATCAGGCTCCCTGCTAAAAGAGAAGCCTGCCTGCTTCTCCCTCTCCCACTCCCCCTGCTTGTGTTCCTGCTCTCACTCTCTCTCTCTCTAATAAATAAATAAAAAATATTTTAAAAATGCCAACTATTCTTTTATTATTGTTATGTATAATTAAGATTGGAAAATATTAAACCAAGAAATGCAGTTGAAATCCAAAGATTCAGTTTCTATAGGGAAAACAGACTAGTTGTTAATTTAAAAACAGAGATGAGGTGCTTCACTGTCCAAGTCCTCAGGAAAACAGAAACACCTATACACAAAACATAAAGGATTATCACAAATATTTTTGCTTTTTGTTCTTTTAACATAAAATGCAGATTCATTTTGAGGCAAAAATCAATTCCTTCTTCAAATACAGCATGCTCTGTTAAGATATATTACTGGACATCTACCTGCAAAGCATTATGCCAGAGATACTTGAAGCTAAAAATGACAGTGTTGTTCCTGCCCTAGGATTGACACTCTCATAGGAGACACTCCTATTAAAGAGAGGTAACAAGAGAATCTAAACGTCCATGACAAATGAGTAAAGAAAATGTATACAACACATACAAAGGAATACTACTCAGCTTTAAAAAGGAAAGTCAGCTATATGTGTCAACAAAGATTAACTCTGAGGACATTACATTAACTGAAATAAGCCAGGGGCACCTGGGTGGCTCAGTCGTTAAGCGTCTGCCTTTGGCTCAGGTCATGATCCCAGGGTCCTGGAATCGAGCCCTGCATCGGGCTCCCTGCTCGGCGGGAAGCCTGCTTCTCCCTCTCCCACTCCCCCTGCTTATGTTCCTGCTCTCACTATCTCTCTCTGTCAAATAAATAAATAAAATCTTAAAAAAAATAAAAATAAAAAATGAAATAAGCCAATCACAGCAATACAAATATTGCATGATCCTACCCATATGAGGTATCTAAAATAGTCAAATTAATACAATCAAAGTGGAATGAAGGCAGCTGGCTGGCTTAGTTGGTAGAGCATGCGACTCCTGATCTCAGGGTTAGGAGTTCAAGCCCCAGGTTGGGTGCTGAGCTTACATTAAATAGACAGACAGCAGAATGGTGGTTGCCAGAGGCTAGAGCAAGGTGGGAAATGTGGAGGTACTAATCAATAGGCATACGGTTTCAGCCAAGTGAGACTGAATAAGCTTTAAGAGATCTACTGTGTAACATTGCACTTATAGTCAATGATAATATATTGTACAGCTAAAAATTTGTTAAGAGGGTAGTCTCATGTTGTGTTCTTTCCACAATAAAATCAAGGAAAAGGGGTGCCTGGGTGGCTCAGTCATTAAGTGTCTGCCTTCGGCTCAGGTCATGATCCCTGGGTCCTGGGATTGAGTCCCCATCGGGCTCCCTGCTCAGTGGGAAGCCTGCTTCTCTCTCTCCCACTCCCTCTGCTTGTGTTCCCTCTCTCACAGTCTCTCTCTCTCTGTCAAATAAATAAAATCTTTAAAGTAAATAAACAAATAAATAAAATCAAGGGGGAAAAAAAAGAGGTAAAAGAAATGTGTTGGGGGACTATAAACTAATTCTGCCCAACAAGAACATCTAGAAAGACTTCAAGAATTCAAAAGGTGACATTGGAATTCAGCCTTGAAAGACGTTCAGAATTTGAAAGAAAATAAAAACACCAAAAAAACCCCAGTGGTGGTTAGACTGACTGCAGATGTTGGCAAATAAGTGGCAATGTCAACAAAGGTACAGGAACAGGGAGGGTTGTAGAAAGGTATAGGAACAGGCTGGTTATGAAAAATGAAACTGGAAAGAGCTGTGAAGAATTTGGGACTTTATTCCATAAACAAGGGCAAATCAAAGTTGGAATTTTGATAGGAAGTTAACATCTCCCCCCAACTCCATAAAGTGATTATCTGTCTTATTTATCATTATCCCCAGCACCTAGCTGTATGGTAAACTGCAAGGTAATGAAGGCAATTATATTTTGTTAAAATTAAACATTCATTGAGGACTTATGCAATATGGTGTGGTGGCCAGGTGGGGTTAATGATGGGATTAGATGAAGTGGCTGACAGGTAGATATAAGTTACTCTACAGAGATAATGGAAAATGGCACCTTAGGAGCATAAAGGAAGAAAGGATTGGTGCTGCCTGAAAGGTTTATAGGGTTTCACAAAGGAGTTGTGAGTCTTTAACTGGCTTTGAAAGATGAAGAGCTGTTAGGCAGAGGTAGGGAATGTAAATTAAATCGTTTTAAATATATCAGAATTTCATAAGACAGAATTATTCACAGTAGTAAAAGTGTGGAAACAACCCAAAAGTCAGTGGATGAATGGACAAAAAGTGGTACACGCATACAGTTAAATACCAGTCAGCCTTAAAAGGAAATTGACACATGCTGTATACATGGATGAACCTTTATGATATTATGGTGGAATAAGCTAGTCACAAAAGGACAAACACTCTTTAAGTGTATGAGATAACTATATAGTGACATTCACAGTAAGGAGAAGGGTGGTTGCCAGGTGCTGGGGTGGGGTGGGGGATTGGGGTTACTGTTTAGTGGTTGCAGAGTGTCAGTTTGAGAACACCAAAAAGAGTTCTGGAGATGGATGATGGTGATAGTTGCTTAATAAGGTGCATGTATGTACATCATGCCATTCAACTCTCCACTTAAAAAAGTTAAATGCCAAGTTTTGTTACGTATGTTTTACAATAAACAAAAAAATTTCATAAGGCACTCCAAAGTCCATAGTCTTAGGGAAAGAAGTGATACATCTGCACTCTCTAAGAAAAGTAACTGGCGGCAGTGGCGGAAAGCCAGGCAGGGAGGTTACGAGAGGACAGGAGCTTGGAAGGCAAGGGAGGGAGTGTGCTCACTTTCAAGCTGGTCGGGGCTCTCCCTCCCCCCCCCCCCAGCATCCGTCTACGCGCAGGGTTCACTCTAGTACTTTTATCTCCATAGGCTCCAGGGGTTGCCCGGGCCCTCGGCGCCCCCAACACCAAGGGGCCTGGCTGTCCGGTCCAATCAGGACTCTGCAGGGATCCCCATTCGATCGTGCTACTTATCCTCCCCGAGCCTCAGTTTCCGTACAGGTTCCCAGGGCCGACGGGACCACCAGCCTTACAGGCGGTGAAGACTGAACGATGGGACCAAAGCGCTGCCCATAGAGTCTGAGGAAGGGCTCGCGGTGAATTTTAGTCCCCCGCGGCAGCCTGGCTAAGCCCCAAGTGGGGCGTGGGACGCTGTACAAGGCGCGTGACCCCTCCGTTCCCCAATACACGGCGGCCCCACGGCCCCGGGAGCTGTGAGTCGGCGGGCCTTGGGCGCCGGAAGCGGGGAGGGGCAGTTCGGGGAAGTTCCGCGAGGAAGGGGCGCCCGCCGACTTACTCCTCCAAGAAATCCAGGAACAGTTTCTGACACTTCTCTGCCACCTCGTCGCGGACTTCCAAGTGCTGGCTGCCGGCGCCCGGCTCCGCTGCGGCCGCGAGGTCCATGGCTGCCTGGCGCCGAGGGGTCGCAGCTGACACGCTCCGCAGCCACGAGTCGCTTCACCACCGACGCTACAGCTTTGCGCGCGCCGCCGCAGCCACTGCTCACCCCCTCCCCCCACCGGGATGGCCGGAACCAATCGTGGCGCAAGAGCTCGCGGATTTCGCGCCAAACCTGCCCAATGAGCGCGGCTTCTCCGTCCGCCCCGCCCACGGAGCCGGGATTTCGCGCCAAATGCAAAGAACTGGAGGAAGCCCGCGGGTTCTGCCTTTGCGCCTGCGTAGTGTGGCCATGCCGCCGGCAGTTTGGTTTCTGGAACAGGTTGAAAGGTTGGATATCGGTTCGGGTGGTTTTTCAAATGTTCTTCAAATCATTTCACTGATACTAATTGAGCAGTAGACATAAAGCTCTATGGAAAAGAGAAATGAGTAAGAATCAGACCTGCTTGAGCCGTGTAATTGGAGGAAATAAACTGTAAATCACCGGGTAAAGCTGTACAAGAGCCCAAAGAGATGTATAAATAGCACCAGGGAGGGGCGTTGGCAGAGTTAGTGTAGTTGGTGCTGACTGGGGAAAATCAGCGAAATGTTTGACATTGTTGATTAACTCCTCTCCTAAACGCAACTGTTGGTTTGCGTCCTCTTGATTTTCTTTACTCTCTTTCTGGCAGTCTTTACCCAACTTCGTTCCACTTGCCTTTTCTCCTATTTGGTCATTCTTGGTTAGCCTTTGTAGATGCCTCTTTTTCAGTGAGCCCCTTAAATGGTCTGGTCCCAGGGCCCTTTTTTCTCCTAAAGAAGCTCTGTTGGGCGACCCTCTTCATTCCTGTTGTTGCGGGATCGTTGAGCAAGCCTGGTCAAGAAGGAATTCTTGAGGGGTTTTAAAGTGCAGCTTAGCAAGTTTACTTAAGTAGCACGGGGCTAGGATCCGTCAGCAGAAAGAGCTGCACCTTTGCTGTTGAAACTGGTGGTTATATACTTAGTGTTCAAGGGGGAGGGGACGTGCAGGAAGTATTAGGTCATAAATATTTTCTTGGAATTTCTACTCATAAAACTACTTTCACAAGAGTTCTCTGGTGCTTATTCAGCTTGATACTATTGGTGAGATGTACAGGCAGTCATGAGACCCTTTAAGAATGTAGCAACCAGCACCTATTTGATCCTTATCAGAATTAGGCAGGCAATAGGTCAGCCTTCTGCGCTAAAGATGTACATTTTTCTGCTTCTGTCTCTCATCACCGTCGCTTCTGGGTGCCGATGACTTCCACCTTGTGTATCACCAACCAGTACTCTTTCTTGGGCTTCCAAGAGATTAAGAGAAGCCTGGACCACTTCCATTTCTTGAGGTTTCCACACATGAAAATATGTTTTTCTTAATGCCAAACAGGGTGACAAAAGTTACTGTAATTCCTTTAACACCCCCACGCATGTACAAATACACTCTTCACAAAATACAAGGTTTAACGAAAATGCTCACTGCTGATGTACTATCTGAGACTGTATATCTTACCTCATTTGAAGGGGATGGGAACACTTGTGCCCTGTATCCCTCAGCTGTTCACAACCTCCAGATTCTGGATATCACCACTTGTATGCATTTTAGGAACCTCAAACTCCATGTGCTACAGGACAGTCATAACCCTCATGCTACTAAGAATGGATCTAGGAGATAGCTAAGAGCAATTTGCTGACCCGATTTGGTCTCTTCCTCTCCAAAGGTCTCATCTTTCTTTCCCATTTTTCCTTTCTGCCCTCCTCTTTCTCTTCTATCCTCAGGGTCAATTTCTCAGAACTTTAGTCTCACATACAGAAGGAAAAAAGCAAGGAAAAAGAGTGCAGAGTTCCAGGCTAATTTGGAGCTACGCTCACTGAGAAAATTGGGATTTCCTCTTCTCAGCTCTCCACACCTCACAGGTCCTCCCTTCCTCTCTCAGACATGCACCTGTGGCCCAGAATAGTACATGACGTCTCCAAGTGAGAGTTGTGGGGATTCTTTCCATAGCAGCAGGAGGGTGTGAGTTATGAAACATCTCTCTGCTTTGTCCCAGAGAGTCATATGCCTGTGGGTATGTATAGGCCTGAGACTGCCATTCTTAGAAAGGCCTGCTTGCAAGGTTGGCCTTTGGCTGGCACTTGGGAACTTGATAGGTAAAAGTTCCCTACACTGATAAGACACTTTCCCTAAATGATAAGGATGGCTCACTGTGCCTAAAATGTTTGTGCAAACAATGTAGTTTATGCTGAATTTGTTCTAAGAGTCTGGAATCTTGATATGTGCTAGTTAGAGGGTGCCTATGTGACCAGACCCCAGTAAAAACTCTGGGCTACTCTAATGAGCTTCCCTAGTGAACAGTGTGACGTGTGTTGTCACGGTTAGATGCTGGGGAGGAATTAAATGTATTACCTATGACTCCATAAGAAGAGGACTCTGCTTGTGTTTGGTCTCCTTTGGACTATTCCATGTGCCTTTTCTCTTTGCTGATTTTATTTTCTATCCTTTTGCTGTAATAAATAAATGGTAGCTGGGAGTATGATTATATCCTGAGTCTGGTGAGCCCTCCTAGCAAATTATCAAAACTGAGGACCCCAAACATTATATATAAATAAAACCTTCTTATAAAGAGAATTTTAAACATATACAAATATAGACAGAATAGTATAATGAACTTCCATTATATAGCCCCAATAACTGTCAACCTGTGGCCATTCCTGGTCCAACAACACACTTCTCTGCTTTTCCTTCTCCACTGTTACTATTGTCTTTAAAAAAAAAAACCTATTTTAGAATGGTTTTAGATTTCCTAAAAGTTGTGCAAGATAGTACATCCATTCTCATATATTCTGTGCCTGTTTTTCCCTTTTGGTAACATCTTACTATAATACATTTGTCACAACTAAAGAATCAACTTTGGCACAGTACTATTAGCTAAACTCCATACTTTATTTGAATTTTGCTAGTTTCCCCCTAATGTCCTTTTTCTCTTCTCAGATTCCATCCAGGATACCACATTACATCGTACTGTCATGTCTCCTTAGTCTCCTCAGGTCTGTGACAGTTACTTAGGCTTCCCTTGGTTTTGATGACATAGACAGTTTTGAGGAATACTGCTCAGATATTTTGCAAAACATCCCTCAATTGGGATTTGTATGATACTTTTCTCATGATTAAACTGTAGTTACTGGTTTTGGAAGGAAGACCACAGAGGTAAAGTATAGTTCTTACCACTCCCTTACAATTTTGAAGCAAATCCTAAGTGTATCATTTCATATGTAGACATTTCAGAATGAATCTCTAGAGGATACAGACTATTGGAATGTTACTCAGTCATAAAAAAAGAATGAGATCTTGCCATTTGTGACATGAATGAACTCAAGAGAGTATTTATGCTAAGTGAAATAAGTCAAACAAAGACACATACCATATGGTTTCACTTACATATGGGATCTGAAAAACAAAACAAATGAACAAACAGAAACAGAATCATAAATACAGAGAACTGTTGATTGCCAGAGGGGAACAGGGTGGGGCATGGGTGAAATCAGTGAAGGGGATCAGGAAGTACAAACTTCCAGTTATAAATAAATTATGGAGATGAAACTACAGCATAGGAAATATAGTCAATGAGATTGTAATAACATGATGACAGAAGGTGACTGTGCTTATGGTGAGCACTGAGTATGTATAGAATTGTTGAGTCACTATGTTGTACACTTGAAACTAATATAACATTGTACATCAACTATATTTCAATAAAAAAGGGCTATTTTTCCAGAGACATATCTTTGGCTGGGAAGGAACCTTCCTTCAAACAGCTGTAGCAGTACAGATTAATGATGCTGATTCTTTTAAATCAAACTGTAATATTTTCCTGAATTACCAACACTTTATCTCACTTTGAATAAAACTACCAGGTTAAATTTTGATGTGATTTATTGTAGCTGGTGTGCAATATTCAGTAAGATATTTATCAAACATACTATGAGGTATTTTTTCCAAATATAGTCAATCCCCAACTTATAAAATATTAATATATCCTAACTCTTATTAACAGGATAAGAAAATTTTATGTTAGCTACTGACCAAATTAGTTTTTAGCAGTACTTGATGAAATGCCTTTTTAGTCATTTGCTTTTCTCTTTAGTTACCTACAGATGAGAAGTTTGATCATGATGTATATCAAAAGTAGGGGTGAGGGCAGTGGAAATGATGGCAGTTTTTACCTATTTTTATATGATACTTATTTAATTTTTCCCAAAAGCTAAAATATCAGAATTATACACACACACAGTTACTGAAAACATATTTAAAACTTTCATCATACTTCTCATTTCACAATTTATTTAAAACATACCTTACATTATATTATTATAACATTCAGATTTACTCTTGTTTTTACAGCTGTTATAAAAATGGATACATTAATCACATTGTATCCATATTATTTTAATATTGATTCAACAGCTTTTAATCATCACCTTTTCAAATTGTATTCCATATTTAGTCCCCCTAGGGGTTATTAGACCAGTTCTCTCTTTTTTTTAAGATTTTATTTATTTATTTGAGAGAGAGAGAGAGAGCACAAACGAGAGGACAGCAGAGGGAGAGGGACAAGCAGACTCCTTGCTGGGCAGGGAGCCGAACACAGGGCTGGATCCCAGGACCCTGGGATCATGACCTGAGCCGAAGTCAGATGCTTAACCAACCGACCCACCCAGGCTCCCCTAGACTATTTATTGAAACAAGTATTAACACATCTGTTTGAATTGAAAAACGAAGTTGGGTACCAACAAACAATAAGTATGATTAGGCTGATTTAAAATGAGGATGGGCTTTGCTTAGTGGGTTAAATGGTAGGCATTTTCCAGAATCATATTTTAAAAAGATTATAAAGTGAAAACACTTCATTAAAAAATGTATAAACAAAGGTGTGTTGAAGTTAACATTTTTTTTTCTTCTCAGTTTAGAAGAGAGAGATTTGGGCAGCAGAAACATGTTGAGAAATCCTCAGAAGAGATGACGGAGAAGCTTTGGAAGTAGATGCAGTCACCCGGGGATCATCTGAAGAAAGAGAAAAGGCAGATCCAAGCATGAAAGCTGGAGAAGACCAG